AAGTCTTGGTGACCGTGGTAGAGGGTAGAGTGGAGGAGGGTGTGGCCATGGAGCTGGTGGCCGTGGTGCTGGGGCAATGGCTGTAGTTGCAGCAGAACACTTGGATTTCATAGTTGAAACACATCTTGAACTTCCCCACCTGCTCACGGTTCCTGCAGACCAGGCCGAAGTCCCGGCTGCATTCCACAACCTGGCCCAGCTCCCACAGGGGAACATCAGGCTGGGCCTGGTCGCGGCACTGGATGCCCAGCGGCTGCTCGCAAATGGCCCCCCCAGCCGCACGGATGTTGGAGTAGGTCTCGAAGTCCCCACCATCAGGGCCAGGGCTAGGATAATCCTCATCCAACCAGTCTGTCCAGGCACAGTGAGGCACACAGCCTGTGCTGGGAGATGGGGAGCTGGACGGCAGGATGGTCCCTATGGTGTGCCCAGAGCTGGAAGTCCTCAGGGTCGTGTGCACTGGGGTGGTCACTATGGGGGATGTTGTGGATGTGCTGGTCACAGCTGGACTGGTAGGCATGGTCAGAGCCTGGGAAGTCTGCTGCCTCCTGGTAGGGAGGAGGTTGGTCGTGGAAGCTGGAGGGGCAGAGTGACTGGGGAGGGACACCCTCTCTGTGGTCTTTGAGAAGGTGGGGCCAGTTTTAGTGGTGGCCGGAGTTGAGGGTCTTGTTACTGCTGCCGACCTGGTGCTCCAGGTGGCAGTGGCTGTGGGGGTGGTAGCCCCTGTGGCAGCAGTGACTGTGGGAGCAGTGGGTGTGGGGGTGGTGGTCCCTGTGGCAGCAGTGGCTGTGGAGGCAGTGGCTGTGGGGGTGGTGGCCCCCATGGTAGCAGTGGCTGTGGAGGCAGTAGCCATGGGTGTGGTGGCCCCCATGGTGGCAGTGGCTGTGGGAGTTGTGGGCCCTGTGGTGGCAGTGGCTGTGGAGACAGTGGCCATGGGGGTGGTGGCCCCTGTGGCAGCAGTGGCTGTGGAGGCAGTGGCTGTGGGGGTGGTGGCCCCCATGGTGACCCCCGTGGAGGTGGGTTTGGGTGCCTGTGTGGAGGAGGTCGGTGTGGGGGCGGCCGTGCTGGGGCAGTGACTGTAGTCATCACAGCAGAGCACGCGCACATTGTAGTTGAAGCACATGTTGAACCTGCCTGACTGGTCCTCGTTCCTGCAGGTCAACCCGGTCTCCAGGCTGCAGGTCAGCACCTGCCCGATCTGGTCGATGCTCACCTCGGGGTAGTTCTCCGCCCGGCACTCTATGCGCTCTGGTGCCCAGCACATCTTGCCTCCAGCAGTCCTGATGTTTTCAAAGGTTTCCATGTCCCCGCCTGTGACCCCCGAGGTTGGGAAGTCCACGTCAAACCACTCTGTCCACTCACACTTCGGCTGACATTGGGTCGTGCCCTGGCTGGTGGTGGCCTCAGGGATGGGGCCTTGCGTCGTTGTCTCTGGCCTGGGCGTGCTGGTCTCAGCCTGAGTGGTGGACTGATGGCTCGTAAGTGTTGGCACCAGGCTGATGGTCAGCGGCTCTGTGCCTGTCGGGCGAGCTCTGGAGGTTGCCATTGTCGTTGAGGCCGGCACGGGGGGCCTCGAGGGGCCCTGTGTGCCCAAGCTCCTCGTGGTCCCTGGCAGGGCTGAGCGAGTTGGAAAGCTAGATGTGGCCACCCATGGGACCGTGGGTTCTGTGGAAGCTGCAGGAGCCGTGGGGCCTCCTGTGGTGGCTGTAACAAGGGTGCCCGTGTATCTGGGGGATGTCTGTCCTTCTGAGAGGGTGGGGACCGCTGTGGTGGTGGGCGGGGGAGCCCTGGTCACTCCTGTGCTACTCATAGGTGGCAGCGTTGAGATCAGGGTGGTGGTGGTGGTTGTGGCCGTCTCTGGCTCCTTGGTGGGTGGCGGGGTTGTGGCATGTCCCCTGCAGTGGTCGGCGCTGCAGCACAGGACCCGGATTCTGTAGTTGTAGCACATCTTGAACACGCCCTCCTGCTCCCAGTTTCTGCACACCAGGCCGAAGCGGACATCACAGTGCACCTTCTGCCCCACCTGCGCCAGGGTCCAGTTGGGGAAGCTCTCGGCCTGGCACTCGATGTCCTCTGGCTGCTTGCATAGGTGCCCTCCCGCGGCCCTGATCTTATCGTAGGACTCAACATCCCCCCCCAACTCCTCAGACTTGGGGTAGTCCTCATCAAACCACTCAGTCCACTGACAGCGGGGCTGGCAGGCGGTGGTAGCTGGGGCCGGGGGGCTGCTGACCGGGCTGGTGACTGTCGACCTGGCGCTCGGGGTCACCCACAGGGTGGTCTGTTCAGTCACTGTGGTCTGGGTGGGGGTGGGCACAGCAGGCTCTGTGCTGGCACTGAGGGAGGGTTGGATGCTGGTGCCCGGGGCCGGGGAGGCGCCACAGGGCACATATTCGCAGCAGAGAACCCGCAGCTCATAGTCGTGGCAGAGCGGGGGGCTTTGCTGGCTGTTGGCACACATCAGCCCCCGCGTGCGGTCACAGTCCACCTGCTGGCCCAGCTTCTCCAGTGGCATGTCGGGAAGCTGCTCTGCCCGGCACTCGATGCCCGCCGGCTCAGGGCATACCTGGAACCCCCTCTGCCTCAGGTTTTCAAATGTCTCAAAGTCTCCGCCTCCCAGACCAGGCTCCGGGCGGTGCCCATTGTACCAGTCAGACCAGCGGCAGACTTCACGGACACACACGGTGGAGAGTGGGAGGGCCGGGCCTGTAAGAGGCAAGGGAGAGGGATCCTGGCTTCACAAGGAGGAGGGGCCCCAGAGGACCCTTGCCCCAGGGCTGGCCCCGCCCTTGTTGGATACCCGGGACCCTAGGTGCCTGCCTCAGCCTTGGTTAGGGCCACTTCTGCATGAGGGACCGGGCCCTGGCATCCTGGCCTTGAGGGAGCCCACCAGCTGGGAAAGGCTGGGGGAGGGCTAGGGCAGAGTCTGGGGAAGGCTGTGATGAGAGCTGGGGTGGATCTGGGGAAGCTTTATTGTCCCCTCAAGGTCACCCATCAATCATTGTGCTGAGGCTTCCTGGGGAGCCCCTGGAGACACGAAGGGTACTGGGGGCTGTGCACCCCCAGAGAGCCCGGCAGGTCAGCGGTTGGGACCCGACTGTCACTACCATCCAGAGCACCTGCACTGAGTGTCCAGGGGGTCCCTCATCACCCAGACATGGCCAGGCCTCAGGAGAGCCAGGCCAGGGCTTACTTGTTGTGGAGCCAGGGACCAAGGCAGTGGTGAAGGTGAACGGCGTTGTGGCCGGGGTTCCCGGGCATGCCACCGCTCTCCTGACAATGGTGCCGTTGCTTCCACAAATGGCAATCAGGCAGGCGCCAAGCCCATCGGTGGTGTTGTAGATGATGTCCTGGTAGCCATAGGTCCTGTCCTCATAGGTGCAGGTGCAGGCTGGGGAGGGGCCAGCGGGGTCATCTGGTGCCTCTGAACCCCGGGCCCCAGCCTCGGCCGCCCCCCACCCCGACCCTTCCTTACCCTCAAGGCTGTGAGCGCACTGGATGCCGCTGGGTGTGCAGTTACTGCAGGCAGGGGAGAGGTGAGCTGAGGGCCTTAGCCTGCGGGGCCTGCTCCCCAGCCCTGCCCCCCAGCCCCACCTGTTCCCCACCCCCTCACCAGCTCTGGCAGTTCTCTGCCGTGGGGACCCTGGCCCCCACGTCATAGTAGTTTCCGTCCTTGTCGTAGCAGCCACACTGGGCCACGCACTTCATCTCGTCTTCGTTGAAGAAGGGCTGGCTGGGGGGGCACTTCGGGTAGCAGCCTGGGGCCAGCAGGGCAAGGGAAAGACTCACTGGGGTCCTTTAGCCTCTCGAGCCAGGGGCTCCGTGCTGCCGGAAGTAGCTGCCCCCCACCAGCCAGCAGAGACCTGCCCTGGAGGCTTGCACTGTGCAGCTCATGGGAGCCTGCGCCATGTCCCTGGGGAACCCCAGCCCTCCCCATGCACACTCAGAAACCCAAAGACAGGAGACTTCATCCAGGACAGGCTGCCCCTCACCTTCTAGGCCGGGCAGGTCCACCAGGCAGTGCCCGCTGGGATTCCGGCAGGTTTTCAGGCACGGAGCCCCACAGGGCTGGTAATGCCACTCACAGCCCCCGTGTGGGTTGTAGAAGTCACAGAACAAGGCTGGGGCACAGAGGACAGAGGCTAAGGAGGCACCCACCGGCCCTCACCCCTGCAGTGCAGGGCAGTCCCGCCTGGCAGGGGTGCCGGTCTCCCCAGGGCCAGACCTGGGCTTGTCCCAGACGTTCAGGGCGTCAGGCAGGTGGCACCTCACCTTCCGCTCCGCTCCCCAGCCCTGCCCTTGGAACCCCTGTCCCGCCCCCCAGGAGCCATCTGGTGCAGGGACAGCCTGTCTGGTGGTTTTACACAGGTCTGCCTCTGTGCATGGGAATATCACACTCACATGGAGCCACATGCATGTTGGGCGTCTGTGTGCGGCTCAGGCCCAGGTCAGTGCCCCTACGGAGGCTGGGGCACCTCCTCCCCCGCCCGACTGCTCCACCCTTCAGCACCACGGACAGAGCCCGACTCACGACAGGTGTCCGGAGTCCGCCAGGACACACACAGGCCGGCGTCGTGGCAGGCCTGGGCGTAGGCAGCCACAGCCGTGCAGAAGCACTCACAGTCGCCCCCCGCATCGCACGCGCACGCGTCACTCACGCAGGCCTCGTAGTACTTGGTGGAGTCAACCTGGGCGTGAGGCCAAGGTGCAGCTGTCAGGCCAATGTCCCTACCACACCCGCCCCCCGGCCAGGGGGCGTCTGGCTCAGGGACAGTCTCCGGAGCCATTTGCATTTCAAACCCCCCATGGCAACTCTCTGACCTCCCTGACTCTTGGGGCCTGGAGTACCTCAGAGCTTGCCCCAAATAGGAGCTGCCCCAGCACCACTTCCCTAGCCCACCTGTGCCCTTGACCAGCTGTATCCTTGCCCACCTGTGCACCTGCCCACCTGTCCATCTGCCCACCTGTCCATCTACCCACCTCTGCACTTGCCCACCTGCCCATCTGCCCGCCTGTGCACCTGCCCATCTGCCCACCTCTGCACCTGTCCATCTGCCCACCTGTGCGCCTGTCCATCTGCCCACCTGTGCACCTGTCCATCTGCCCACCTGCCCATCTGCCCACCTGTGCACCTGCCCCTCTGCCTACCTTCACATGTGCGCTTTGGATCTTTTTATCATGTGGGTCTGGTCATGTGGCCTACAGGTTCCAAACCCACATGGAGGATAGCACCTCTGTTCGCCCTCAGCTCTCGCCCCACCTCCCTCTGCTGCAGTGGTGCTGACCTCCTTTCCAGCTGGGGGCCTTCCCCACAGCTGACCCAACCCTGTGGTGGCCCCCGCTCAGGGCTCTCCCTGTCTGAGCATCTGACCACCCAGTGCCCGCCACCCTACTGCCTCCTCCCGAAGGTAGTTCTGTGAGGGCAGGTCTTGTCCGCTGATGGCTGGGGTGAGCCCAGAACTTGCCAGGCTCTTCCAGGCACCCAGTGAACCTGTGCTAAGGAAGGAGCGGTGACTTCCAGCGCCAGGGACTCGGTGCAGCCTCACCTCCTTTCCAGACCAGCCATGGGGGGAGCCGTGCTGTTAGCCCCATCCTGAACACGAGGAGCTGCCTGCTTCCTCCAGGCAAGAGCCCACACCCCTCCCAGGCCCCATCTGAATCTGGGCCCAGATGCCAGCTTCCTTTTCAAGGGGATAAGTGGCAGCCGATGTGAGAGTGCTCCAGGGCCTCCCATGAGCAAGTGTGCCCACCACTGTGCCCACTGATGCCCCTACGCCAGCCCCTCAGCTCAGCCCTGAACCACATGCTGTGTGCCACTGTGGGCACTCAAGTCTTCCTTAAAATGACAGCAAACTGGTTTTTGTTTTTGTTTTTTTGTTTTGAGACGGAGTTTCACTCTTCTTGCCCAGGCTGGAGTGCAGTGGTGCAATCTCAGATCACTACAACCTCCACCTCCCAGGTTCAAGCGATTCTCCTGCCTCAGCCTCCTGAGTAGCTGGGATTACAGGCATGCGACCATGACCGAGTGTTTTTATATTTTTAGTACAGGTAGGGTTTCGTCATGTTGGCCAAGCTGGTCTTGAACTCCTGACCTCAGGTGATCCACCCACCTCAGCTTCCCAAAGTGCTGGGATTATAGGCATGAGCCACTGCACCCATTCCAACTGTTTTTTGGAATTCTCTGCTTATGGCTGATCTCCGATTCCTCCCTGGCTGGGCAGGGAGCTGGGCTGGCCTTCCAGTTTGTGCTGAGAACTGGGCGGGTCTGGGGATCATGAGGAGGGTGTCTGGGGCCTCTGGGTGTGACCAAGGCTGTGGCCAAGGGAGTGGCCAGGAGAGAGCAGAATTGGCTTCGTGCCAGGGGCAGGGAGTGCAGGTGCAGGGCTGGCGGGAGATCCAGACCTGGGGCCTGCTGTGCAGGACCGCATGCCCTGGGAGAACGGCCAGACCCTCCTTGGAGCCCTGGCATGTGCCCAGAAGACCCAGCTCTCAGTGGGAAGGAGGCAGCCGCCATCCCCACTTCACCCTGTCTGCCAAGCGCAGAGCCCCACCTGGGAGCGGCAGGCGGCGAAGGTGGGGCCGTGGAGGATGCTGCACTGCTTCTGGGCCCAGGACTTTCGGGAGGGGTTGGCCGTGCAGGGGTCCTTGGGCTGCAGGGCGTCCGGGCAGGACGGGGAGAGCTTCCAGCTGTTCCCGAACTCCAGCGCGTCCCCCACCACGGACCGGCTCCGCGTGGTGAAGTCGTTGATGGCGTTGCCGTCGAAGTTCCCGCACAGGCCGCAGACCCTGCCCTGCAGAGGCGCCAAGTGAGTGGGGCCCTGGAGCTGGGGCCACCGGCACCCACGGGAGGTGGCACGGAGCCCAGCCCCAGGTCCAGAGCCCTTGGGAGATGGAGGGAGGACAGCCGGTTTCCCAGCCAGTGCCCGACAAACTAGCAGGGGACAGGTGCAGTGGGCCCCTGGGTGGGTCGCTGGGTGGGTCCCTGGGTGGGTCCCTGGGTGGGCCGCTGGGTGGCACCTGCTTCCCTAGAAAACCCTCGACCCACTGTGGAGGCCAGAGGGTAGGGTTCTCACCAGCCAGGCTCATCGGGTTCCACAGGACCCCCCTGGCACCAGGGTTTCTGTGGCCGCCAGGTGATCCTGCAGGGCCTGGGAGCCACGGCCCAAGCTCACCCTGTAGTCCTGGTGCAGCCGGATGAACACGCTGGTCTTCCGGTCCCAGGACACGGCCATCCCGCGGGTCTCGATGACCAGGAAGATGCCCATGTAGCGGATCCTGTAGGGTGGGTCCCCGCCCGGCCCTCTGGCCACCGCTTTAAAGGTTCCCTCCTGGAGGATCAGCTCGTAGCTCTGCAGGGAGGCAGATGCTCTCGGAAGCCGACCCTGTGGTCCCCGGGGCGGGGCCTGAGATGCAGGGGTCCCCACCCAGGGCAGGGCTCTGCAGGTTCACGTGGCACAGAGAGCTGGCGTTGGGGATGAGCTGGGTCGGTGAGACCCTCAGTGAAGGTTCGGCAAGAGGCGGAGCAGGAACCATAGTCAGCCCCTCCTGCCATCTGCAGGGAGCACCCTGGCAGCGGCTGTGCCTTCTCCCCTGGGAGCTCTGGCCCCCCATGCTGGACTGGGCGTCTCTGGGTGTGGCAGGGCGAATGGCAACTCCGGAAAAGGTCTGTTTACATGCCAACTCCCAGAACCTCGGCCTGCAGCCTTAGTAGGAGAAAGCATCTTTGCAGATGGGATTCAGGGAAGCATCTTGAAATGAGATCATCCTGGACTATCTGGGAGGGCCCTACATCCAATGACCAGGGTCCTTACAGAGACAGAAGAGAGAGAAAAAACCCCGGAAAGAGAGAAGAGAGGCGCAGACACAGAGGGAGGCCACAGGCAGCCACAGCCACGGGACGCCTGGAGCCCGAGATGCTGGCACAGGCAGGAAGGACCTCCCCAGACCCTCCTGGGAGTGTGGTGCTGCCCGCCTGCATCTCTGACTTCTGGCTCCAGGACGGAGAATGCATTTCCGTTGTCTAAGCCCCGTGGTTTGTGGCTGTTTGGAACAGCAGCCCGTGTCAGGACACTGCTGAGAACCCGTGAGTGCAGCTGCACTCATGAGGCTTCCCTGGGCCGGCTCGTTGGCTGAGGGCCGGGGGGTTCACAGCCGGGGCCACTCTCACCTCCACGAAGAGCTTGATGGCCTTGGAGCAGGTGGTGCCAGTGGTCCCACAGGGGATGTTTTCCGTGATGATGCGGAAGGTCCCGTGGCTGGCGTTGCCCCCGCAGTAGTCCTGGGCCGGGGAGAGACAAGCTGCTGACTGCAGGCCTGAGTGTGCCCAGCCTGCGGGAGCTGGGGAGGGGTCGGTGTACCTGCGCCAGGGTGTACTCGCAGCTGCCTTCAAAGCTGTAGCGCTCGCCGTCAAAGGTGATGAAGTGGCCATCGCCGTAGGCCACGCAGGTGCCCAGGCAGAGCCGGTGGCTGCATTCCCACCTCCGGTTCCTGCAGGTGCTGTGAGGGGCCAGGACAGTGCCTGCTCACGGGGCTGCCCTCCCGGCCTTCCCGAGACCCAGCACCTGGGCCTGTGTGGGTCAACCTGGGGCCTCAGCCTCCCCAGGCCCAGCCTGGCCCTCCTCAGTGAAAGGGGTGGTCCTGCACAGTGAGTTCAGGGCATGCAGCCCCACCAGGTTCCTGGTAGCGCCACGGTCCCTGGGCCACCTTCCAGAGGACGCACGGGATGGCCCCTGGCTTTCCTGGCAACTCTCCTGCCACCACCCCACCTCACCCCGGCCAGTTTGCCACCTGCCCTCCCTCCTGCCCTCCCCACTCTCTCCCCTTCCTGCCCCCTGCCCTCCCGGCCCGCTGCCCTCCCTTCCCTCCCCCTCCCTTCCCCGCCTTCTGCCTCCCCACCTGCTGCTCTCCCTCCCAGCCCACTGGCCTCCCTGCCCACCCGCTGCCTCTGAGGGACCCAAGACCCACCAGGTGTTACAGTCGACCCTGATGGTCTCCCCAGGCTTGTAGGTGGCCTCATTGTGCACGCAGGGACAGTCCTCCTCGGCGATGCAGCCCCCACTCCCGTCCGACACCAGCCCCAGGGGACAGACACAGCCGGACACGCAGTGTGTGCTGAACTGTGGGCCCAGGCAGGTCCCAGTCAGGGCCGGACACCAGGGGGGCAGATACTACTCATCCTTGGGGAGGCACACCCAGGGCCCCCGGGCAATGCCTGGGCCGGGGCAGAGCTTCTGGTGGGGGGGGGTTAGGCCTTCGGCCACGCAGTGTCTCTAGGACCACCGGAGCCCTGGGCTTGGGAGCTGGGGAACCTGGCACCCCTTCCCTGCCCACCCTCCCTGAAGCACAGGACGGCACCAGAAGACTCACACAGCCCACATCCAGTGTGTGGCAGCTCCGGACGCACTCGGCCCCAGGGGTGCCCACCGAGCTGTTGCTGCAGTCCAGGTACACCATGGGGGCCGCGCACCCTGGGGGCAGAGCTTGGTGGGAGGGGTCCTGCGGAAGGGCAGCCTCGGCCCCAACTGCCCCTGGCAGCCCTAAGCCTGTCCTGCTGACCAAGCTAATGAGGATTCCACGACACCAGCAGCCCCAACCCCAAGGCACCCCGGCCATGCTGCGGAGCAGAGACCCACTGCCCCCTCCATCCCTGGAATGACTGGGTGTGGGTGCCCGTGGCAGGGCCCAGGTGAAGACTGATCTGGCTGGGTGGGGCTCAGGTGGGGCAGGGCTGGGCAGGACAGGCGCCTACCTGTGCTTCTCTGCAGGGAGGCTCCCAGACAGCTCAGCTTCCCGCCTGCACACGAGCTGTGAGAGATGAACCGCACAGCCTGGACCTGTGGCCCACACCCCACACACCCCACCCTGGGCTCCTGAGCCCCCCCCGAGCACCCGGCCTCCCCAGCCTGGCCGCCTCCTTGTAAGGCCAGCTGGTGCCTGCCGCCGGGTTCTATGGGAGACCCCAAGTCCCTCGGAGGCTCGTGGGCAAATACACACAGATGGGCGACCAGGCAGTCGGGACCCTGGGGTTAGGAGCAGCCTTTGAGGCCAGGGTGGGAGTGGGGGCTGCCCCCCCTTTCCTGGCAGGGGCTGCCATTCAGACCAAGATGAGAACAGCCAGCAGGCATCCTCCCGGCCGGGAATTTTCTTTTCAGAACACACGGGGCCCACCCTGTGCCGCCCTCCCCAGCCTGGCCCCTTGTGTCTCAGAACCCTCGTTGGGGGGCACAGAAGGCTTCGGGCGTGGAGCGGAAGTTCAGTGGGAGGCCACTGTCTGCGCAGGGAGGGCGGGTGGTGGCTTCCAGGAGCACCCAGGACCTGCTCCCCGGCCGGCTCTTACCACACGGCGCCCTCGTCATGCACGACCTCCCCGGGGGCCAGCACGGTGCCGTGAACGTAGCAGGGGCACTCTCGGGCGGGCACACAGGCACCCGCATCGTTGAGGAAGGTGCCAGCGGGGCAGGCGCAGCCATCCACAGGCACGAAGGTGACGCCGCAGGTGACATCGGCCTCACTCAGGCCGCGGCAGGTAGGCTGGCAGGTGTCCACCACGTAGGCGTAGCGCTGGGACTCGGGGCAGCTCTGCATGTACCTGGCTACGGTTGGGAGGAGGGGGGACAGGTCGGTGGCTGGGCAGCCCGCTGACCCCCACCTGCCCCATCCTCAATGCTGCGTCCCCGTCTGTGACTCAGGGATCACGAGGGATCGAGGTTCTTGCGAGGCTGGGATGAGGAGGTGCCAAGCTCGGGGCTGAGAACCGTGTGGGTGACAGGTGCCGCCACCCAGGGTCCCCGCGCCCCCACGCAGTGTGACACCTCCACCCCGTGGAACACTCACTGCAGACGCCGCCCCTCCAGCCGCTGAGCTGCACGCCCTTGGCGGCGCAGGCGAGCACGTAGGAGGACAGGGCGGCACACAAGCAGTCCTCGCTGCGCTCACAGTTGCAGCTGTCAAACATGCAGTTCTGCGGGGAGGGGGGCGTCAGGGACCCCAGCCCGCCACGGCCCCCCACCCGTCCTGTGCAGGCCTTGGGGACTGCCTCACGGCCTCTCACCGAGTGGAAGGGTTTGGGGTTGATGACGGAGTGGCAGGGCAAGAAGGCACCGGCGGGGTCGGTCAGCCGTGAGCACCAGTGCCGGGCGTAGTTCTCTGTGGGGAGGACCCGGCCCCATCTCCATGACCGCCCTGAAGCCCACAGCCCACCCCCAACACACACAGAGGCCTTGGCACCCTCAGCCCTGGGAACGGTGAGTTGGAATTTGGAGGCTCACGTGCTGCGCCTTGGGGGTCCCAGCCACCTGGCCCCAAGCGCCTACCTCCCGATGCCTCCCACCTGCCTCCATGGGGTCCCCAATCCCACCCGGGGGTTCCCGTGGCCCAGGGGACAGGAAGGTGCTGGGTGGCACTTGAGCCTGAGGTGACTGCGGGGGTGTGGGCGAGGGGTACCATTCTCCACACTGAGGGAGCAGGGGTCCTCGAAGCTGTTCCTGGCATTGGCACAGGCGGCCTGGGCCTTCCAGGTGTTGGCGAACGCTGCACCCGTGGCTTCTACCACCCCACTGAGGGCCGTGAAGTCGTCAGCCTGGTTCTGGTTGAAGTTCCCACACAGGCCTGGGGGATGTCAGTGGCTGCTGTTGGACCCAGCTGCTCCTGGCCCCTGCCGGTGCTCCAGGCACCACACGGGGCGGAACGGCCGAGAGCCCTGTCCCCGGATTCTGCTTCCAGGCCCATCTGCAGATAAGCCCCGGGGGGCCGGCCCCTGTGCGGAGCCAATGTGAGCCAGGGCAGCGCTGCCTTCTCCCTCCGCCCGGCCACTTCTGGGGCACCGGTCAGGACACCAGCACAGGGTCTCCGCCGTGCCCTGGGAGCAGCCCCCTCCCTGGCCTCCTGCCCGCCTCTGCCTGCCCTCTCTCTGCAGCCTGGTGCTAGTCCAGGCCCCACGCCCACCGAAGGCCCCTGCCCAGCCTCACCGCACATCTGGCCCTGGTGGGCGGGGTCCAGCCTGACAAACACCTGCATGAGAGGCACCAGCTGCACCAGCAGCTGCAGCCCCAGGCCTGTCTGCACCACGACGAAGAAGCTTGAAGGCCGGAACAGGGTGATGTTGGCTGCGGGGAGTGTGGAGGAGAGGCCGGTCAGGGCTGCGGGGCCAGATATGGCCAGATCGGAGGGGCAGGGCATCCAGCAGGCCGGGCCACCCCACTGAGACCCGGGAGTGGGCAGGAGCCCTCACGCTCTGCCCTGTGCCTGCAGCCACCAAGTGGCCAGGACCCCCGAGAGACTGGGGCTCGGCGAGCTGGATGTGGGGTCCCCCCCGCAGCCTGGGTAGGAGCCTGGCATCCCCACTCAGCCGATGAGAAACCGACCACAGGAAGCTCCTGGAGCTGCCTGAGGCCATGGAGAGCTGGCAGGGGGCTGAGCTGACACCGCACAGGCTGTGGGAGCCGCCCCTGCTCGGGAGGCGCCGCCCGGCCTGGCCGTTCTGGGGCAGCTGCGTACCTGCCGACAGGGGCAGCTGCGTGTAGATGGAGTTCATGAACACCGCACCGTCCGCCTGGACCCGGATGGCCTGCCAGGAGGAGGCGGGCGGGAGATCAGCTGTGGGGAGGAGCCTGTTCCCGATTCTCAAATGAGGGGGTGGCCTGCCCAGGGGCCACCACAGAGAAGCTCGGGCCTGGGCCTGCAGTGGGCTGTGCAGCTGCCCACCAGGAGGGGCTGCCCAGCCTCGAGGCTGGAGGGGAGCTCTGACCGCACTTGTTCCCCACACGCCTTCAAACGCCCCTTCCCGCCCCAGCCCAGGCCCAGGCCAGCTCCTCACCAGGTCCCCGCCATCCAGGTTGAGCGTCACTGCTTTGAGGCAGTTCTCGTTGTCCGTGAGGCCGCACTTCCGCAGCTCGGCCAGCACCGTGAAGCTGCCGTCAGCACATTGCTGGGGAGGGACCCATGCACGCATTGGGTCTGGCTCGATGTGGGGCGTCCCCCCAAAATGTGCTGGGGACGCCCTTGTGGGGGATGTGGCTCTGCAGGGAGGTGCCCGTGGCCCCTCTGCTCACCTCCCAGCAGGTTCTCTCAGGGCCTGGGGCTCCTTGACCCCGTACCGCTCCGCAGGGAGATCCACCCCTCCATGGCCATCATGGGGACCCAGGGCTCCCCCTCAGCAGGGAGATCCACCCCTCCATGGCCATCACGGGGACCCAGGGCTCCCCCTCAGCAGAGAGATCCACCCCTCCATGGCCATCACGGGGACCCAGGGCTCCCCCTCAGCAGGGAGATCCACCCCTCCATGGCCATCATGGGGACCCAGGGCTCCCCCTCAGCAGAGATCCATCCCTCCATGGCCATCATGGGGACCCAGGGCTCCCCCTCAGCAGAGATCCATCCCTCCATGGCCATCGTGGGGACCCAGGGCTCCCCCTCAGCAGGGAGATCCACCCACTATGGCCATCGTGGGGGCCGCCCCTGGGCAGAAGGGGCGTGAGGGTCCCCTGGAGGGGCTGGGTGTCTGGAGACCCTGCCCCGAAGCCAGACCTTGGACAGGACATAGCTGCAGTCACCGTGGAGATCGTAGAGTTTCTCATCGTAGGTGGAGATGTGGGCCCCGCCCTGCACGGAGCAGGTGCCCGGACACGGCAGATCCTGGCACTGCCACAGCCCCCCGGAGCAGGTGCTGGGGAGGGAGGCCGTGAGCGGAGCAAGTGTGCTGGGAGGAGGCAGGCCACACCCTGCACACCCCGACCCCAGGCTATCAGGTGCATACCAGGAGCTGCAGGTGGTGTTGAAGGAGGCGCCCGGGCTGTAGGTGCGGCCGCCGTGGGTGCAGGGGCACTGCCCGAGAGGCAGGCAGCCGGAGTGCGTGACATCATCTAGCACCGTGCCTGTGGGGGGGGGCAGGAGGCGGGGCTGGCCCGTGGATGGGGCACCACTCTGAGGTCAGAAGACTCCCCGCCTTGGGGACGCGCCGCCTCCCTCCAGGAGGAAGTCGGGCACCAGGACGCAGTCCCCGCCCTGAGCCCCACCCATTTGGATGAGCACCAACCACCTCTGGGCCTCAGTTTCCCCACCAGGCTCGGGTGGCAGGGCTCTGCCTCCCTCCACACATCGGCCGGTTGCCCGGCGCCCTCCTGGCCAGTGCCCGCCCCTGCCCTGGGTCCCCAGGTGGGACTTTCTGGCATGAGGGGCTCTGATCTGGGCCTGATGAGGCTGGGGGCGGGGTTGGGAGCAGAGACCCGAAAGCCCCCGGGGGGCGCCCAGGGCACCCGGGACCTGCCTGGGGGGCAGAAGCAGCCGTCCACGCAGTGCTCCTCGCAGAGCTGTGCGCGCTGGGGGTTGGAGCAGGTGTCCGTGCAGGGCGAGCCGCACTCCTGGTGCTGCATGTTGAGGGGGCAGGTCCGGGCTGCGGGGAAGGAGGTGGGGCTGGGCCGGGGAGGGACCCACGCTGTCCACGTGGTCAGCTCCAGCCACCTGCCACCGCCTTCTGCATGCCATCAAGTCCGCAGAAGCCAGAGCTGGGCCCCAGGATGGTTGTGAGGTCCACCCTCCGGCCCCACCCCCGCCACCTCCGGTGCAGCCTCTCCTGCTCCTGCAGCCCCCGGAGGCCCCGCCCCTTCTTGGGGTTCTGGGGCGGCCTCTGCCAATATGCCCAAGGGGAGTCCTCTGCCCTCAACCCCCATCCCCCAGGCCTCCCCACCCCACTGTGGCCGCTGAGGCACTCCCCGTGCCCCTTCTCCCCAGCGTAATCCCTGGCAAAGGCCCACGGGCACTCACGGCAGAGGTCGGGGCGCCTCCAGTTCTGTGGCTGGCCACCTGCGTGGGCGCACTGGCGCGAGTATTCCGCAAAGGTGGCACACAGGCAGGTGGGGCAGTGGCACAGGTCCTGGGTGCAGGCGGCCATGTACTCAGCGCTGTCCACCAGCGCCTGGCACTCCGCAAAGGCCGACCCCAGCAGGGTGCGGCGGCAGATGCCCTCCTGAGGAGCACAGTGGGCCAGGCTGGGCACCCCTGTCCTTCACTGGGGCTGCCACAGCGCTGGAACACAACCCAGGCCAGGCCAGGCCAGGAAGGCCTCTCCCCCTCGGGGCCCCTGATACACAACCCCACGCCACCCACTGTGGCCTCACAGCTGCCAGCGCAGAGCCCCACTTGACCCTCGGGGAGTGACCCATGACTCTGGGCCCCACCAGGATGTGCCTGCCTTGGAGTGAGTGCCCAAGAAAGGTGTGGACCCCGCCCTGGGAGGCAGCTCCTAGAAAGGGAGGTGGAGGCCCTGCCTCTCTGGGCAGCTCAGCCGGTTCAGGGCAGCACAGCGGTGAGTGTCCTCTGTCCCCAGGCCTCCGGTGTCCGGCTGTGGGGCCCCGCTCCCCACTGAGGGCTGACGCTCTCATTCATGGCACGATTTAAGGCTAAGAGATCCTGCTGGTTTGGGTTTCCAGAAGCCTCCAGGCCCCTTCTGAGTTCCCGTGCCGGTGGGAAGGGCTTGCTCGGGGCTCCCCGAGGGCCCACCCTCAGCCCAGCCCATGTGGTGTGGCCTGTATTCACTCACACAGATGGGCACATACGTGGCCCGAGGAACACGTATACCACCACACGTGGACGGCGTGTGCCGTGGAACTGAGCACACAGAGCATGGCTGCCTGGACCCCCTCTGACGCCACCATCTCTCCTGGTCAGCTGGGGACGTTCCTCAAACCTCAGCCCGGCTCCCCCTGCACCTGGAGGCCGTCCCTGCCCAGGAGCAGGGCTCACCTCGTCCGTGCAATTGTCGGTCAGCAAGGGCAGTGGGTCTGGGCACTGCTCTGTGGGCCCGTCCAGCTTCTGCAGGTTCCCAAACTGGAGAGGGCTCAGCCTGGCGTCTGCCGGGAAGAAGCATGGGTCATGGGTGTGGCGGCTCTGAGGGGTTCCTGGGGACAGGGTCTGGGCTCCCACTTCCTGAGGCCAGGCCAGAGGACTGCCGCTCATGCCTGGGGCCAATGCCCCCAGGGGCACTCCTCCCCCAACCAGGACCACAGCCCATGTGGCCCCTCCCTGCCCGCTGCCCCCTCCCTCCTCCCCGGAACTGTGGTCCTTGGCTGACCGACATAACCGGTCGCCACCCCCTCTGCCCGTGGTACTCACTGTGGGCATAGAACTCGTTGAAGGCTGGGAGGCCGTTGAAGTCCCCGCACAGGCCGCAGGTTTGGTTGGCGTATTTGGGGTCCAGCTCCAGCTGAGAATGGGGGAGGGGCAGCTCCAGCCTCAGGGTCTCTGATCCCCCCCACTGGCCACATGCCCCACGTCCTGCGACCCCAAGCCCAGGGAAGCGTCCTTCAACTCCCTGTGGGGGTTTTGCGGCCTGGTCTGGAGGACAAGGGGCAAGGGGCTTCCTCACCAGGGCGCTGTCCTCTCCGTTCCACAGGAAGGTCAGGATGAGCCGGACGCTGACCTTGATGTGGTCCCCGCTACGCTCCACCAGGAGGCCAGTGCGGCTGTAGGGCAGCTCCTCCCTGCACAGACAGCAGGGTCTCTTCCTGGGCCCGGCCCTCCCAGCTGCCTGCCAGCCAACCCTGCCCCAGCCCTGGCGCAGGTCAGACACGGCCACTGGGGGAGGTGGCATCACGTGCCCGGCCCTCGGCCTTCCCCAGGGTGGCCGGCTCACCGCTGCCCATTGACCAGGATGGAGCCGTTGGACACCTCCAGCACCAGCCCCTGGGCCTTGATGACAACACGGGTGACCACAGGCCTGGAGCCCACCAGGCCTCGGCGCAGCTGCACGTTGAAGTCCTCGTAGGCGGCGCCGCAGTGCTCAGAGAGCACGTAGTTGCAGAGGCCAGGAAAGCGGAAGACGTCGCCGTCAAAGGTCTTGTAGTGGAAGTCACCCCACGTGCTGCACACACGCCCGTTGTGCGCCGGGTTCATGGCTGCGGGGGACATCTCAGATGAAGCCCTCCTACCCCCACGCCACCCCCACCAGGAGCCTCCCCTGGGCCGGGGCACCCCGGCTTTGGAGCGGAAAGGCCCGCCGTCGGCTCCCGGCCGTGCCCTGCCTGGCCCCCGCCCCCGGGCGGCCTCTGTTTCACTCCATGTTGGTGATTCGTTCCCCCTCCCCATGGCGGCCCGTGACCTGGGCCTGGCCCTGTGGCCCCACCTGGTGCCAGCTGCATCCCTAGATCTGGGCCTCTACCCTTGGCCCTGGCAAACCTCCCCTTCCAGCTGGCAGGGGCAGCGCCTGCTTACCGCTCAGGCTGGGGAAGACGGTGACGGGTGGAACAAAGCTCACACGCCGGGCAGACGCAGACGTCACAGAGCCTGCGGGTGAGGGCCGGTCACCCCGGGAACCTAGGTAGGAAGGGGTAGCAGAGACACCCTTCCGGGCCCTACCCTCCTCACCAGCCCCCAGAGTGGAAGGGGAGCCCAAAACTGACGGGCTGGAGACAAGGCAGCTCCTTCACCCCTTGGCCCCATCCACCCCAGAAATACTGCTGCTCTTGTGTATTTTGGCCTCTGTGTGTATGCGTGTGCCTGTGTGCGTGTGTGTGCAGTGTGTGGTCTGTGTGCGTGCATGTGTGGGTGCCTGTGTGCAGGTGCCTGTATGCACGTGTGTGTGCCTTGTGTGTGTGCATGTGCTTGTGTGCATGTGTGTGTCTTGTGCGTGTCTGTGTGCGTGTGCGCATGTGTGCCTTGTGCATGTGTGTGAGTGCATTTGTGCCTTGTGCGTATCTGTGCATGTGCATGTGTGTGCACCTGTGTGCATGCGTGTGCATGAGTGTGCCGTGTGCATGCATGTGTGCATGTGGTTGCGTGTGCGTGTGTGTGCCTTGTGCGTGTCTGTGTGCATGTGAGAGTGTGTGTGTGCACCTGTGTGCATGTGCGTGTGTGCCTGTGTTTGTGTGTGTCTTGTGTGTGTGTGTGCCGTGTGCATGCATGTGTGCATGTGGCTGCATGTGCGTGTGTGTGCCTTGTGCATGTCTGCGTGCATGTGTGTGTGTGTGCGTGTGCACATCTCTCTGCCCTGCACTTTCTTCTTCGGAGCACCCATCCCCACCCTGGGCCAGCACTGTCCCGGGTAGGGGACCCAGGGAGAGTCTCTGTGGGACTCATGGCTGCGTGGAGAGGTGTCAGACTGCCCCAGCCCGAATCCCAGCCCCTCCAGCCTGGTCAGGAACCCGCCGCATGAGTCCGGCCACGTACCACCGTCTGTGCTGTACCCTGTGCTCCCCCCGCTCGGCTCAGCAGGGTTCTGGGTCTCTAAAGGAAGAGGGGATGGGAGTCAGTGGGGAACCAGATGTGGCTGCCAGCCACGAACCTGGCCACGGACTTGGCCACATCCGTGGCAGCCTCATGTGGGGTCTGAGGTGGGGTCTCCATGCCCTTCAGGCTCCCCTGCATGGCATACTCTGGCCAAGTCCAGGACTCCTCCCCCGATGCTCAGGCAACCTCAACCAGCAACCACAGACGCCTCCCCTGCCACTCAATGCTATGGAAAACCTGCAGGATGGAAGCTTCCAGCAGGGCCCCTGCACTGCCCCCAGCAGGACCTGCACCTGCCCTGTGACCCCCACTCTCCCTGATGGACATGTGGGGTGGTGCCTCCTTCTCAAGCAATGGGGGAGGAAGATGGAATCAGGAAAAGGCGTTGGCCGCCCCAGGGGGGATTCAGCCCCATCCCAGGCGTCCCTGAAGCAGGACAAAGCCTCGCTTTGTTGGGAAGACACAGCTGGAGCCTTCCGGGCGTGACCTAGCAGAAACCTAAGCCCAGAACGAGTTTCGAGCTGGAACCCTAAGTCAGGGCGAGAGGGGCAGCTGGGGGCAGGCCTCAGGGCGGAGCAAGCGGTGTGGCCGTGGATGCTGTGACGGCTGCCCACTGCCTCCGTGCAGGGCCTCACCCACCGGCCCCGTGGAGGCTGGACTCTAAGCAGAGAACCCTGGAAAGAGGCAGCTGCCACCCCCAGGACTCTGAGGCCCCCTGACCCCCAGGCCTCTGTCTGCCCAGTTTGGGTTGGGGCACTTCCTTCCCGGGTCCCCAGAGCTCCTCTCTGGAGCCAGTCTGAGATAGCCCAGCCCAGGTCCGTGCTCCATGGGGAGGCTGGAGAGGGCCCAGCCCAGGCCTGTATTTCCGTGGGGATGCTGGAGGGGCGGCCGCAGTCCCTACGGCAGGGTCAGGGCTCAGCGAGGTGCCAGCACCTGTGGTGTGAGCTCTGACCTGGCGGGCCGGTGGCCGACAGCTCACATCCTGCCTGGCCCTCCCAGCCTGGTCCTGCTGACATCTGGGAACTACCGCAGGGGCTGGCTCCGGAAGCTCCCCGTGTCCTCTACCTGACCCCCAGCTCACAGCCCTGCCCACGAGTGCAGCCCAGCCCGGACACTGCCACCCATGGCGCCTGCCCCAGGCGGCCCCTCTGTGACCCAGGCAGCCCCTGCCCCGCCCAGGCTGACCGACCCTGGGCATCTGCTCCGTGTGGCGCCCTCCTTGGTCTGGGCCACCTGGTCCTCCATCTTGAGGCCAGAGAAGTGCCCGCCACCAGCCACCCCGTCACCCTGGGGTGTGTCCCTTAGCATGAAGCCGCTCTGTGCAGGGCCCGCCTCGCCCTGACCACAGGGTGTGCATCTCGAAACTAGAGCACCGTCCCTGCTGAGGGCTTGACCCCCAGCTTGGATGTGCGTGGGGCCCGGTGGGCTGACGGCCCCTGGCCTCCCTGCTCAAAAGAGGGGCGCCCAGGCTGCATGGCCCCGAAGAGCCAGTCGAGAGGACATGGCTATTCTGGTCAATCCAGCGCCGAAATCTTTCGGTCAGAGACAGCTCCCGCGGTCCACACTGGGAGCCACTGGAGGAAGCCCCGGGCCTCCAGCACTGCTGACCACACAGCAAGGGGGCTTGGGTCAGGGACCCTGAGGGGACCATCCCCTCCCCTCCCTGCCTCCCTTCCACAGGTGGAGAGAGCCCCAGAGCCTTGCCTGCCCAGCCCAGACCCCAAGCTTGGGAGCGGGAGGAGGTCTGGGCCGGGAGGGGCTTCAGCAGCCTTGGGGCAGGGTGTCTCCCGGTGGCCCAAGGCCATGTCTTTCTCTGTTGACAATATTAACGCTGTGGCAGACGGCAGGCGAGGGAAACCACTTGGCTGAGAGCCCTGTGGACAGCCCCATGGGAGTCGGGCCTGGGTTCAGGCCGTGGCTCTCACAGCTGGCCGTGCAGTCCAGAGGATGGTGCCTCAGCTGCCCTGCCGGCTGTGACTCCCAGGCCGGTCATGGAGGGCAGAGCCTGTCCTGGGCAGTCCCTGCTCACTCATGCCTGGGCCTCACAGGGCCCCAGAGAGACCCTCAGCCGTGGCCCCCGACCCCAGTGCCAACTCCTGCCCCACCCCCAAGGCCAGGACCCTCTCGGGGGTCTCCCAGGGGCCCTGCTCCTCGGCCAGCGCCCGACATCTCCTGACACCCCATGCAAGCCAGCCCCAGTGTTCCCTGACACTGTGAGCAGTGGGGCCCAGGAGCCCTGTGTTGGGGACACGTAGGGTCCCATCCAGGACACTCCTGGGGGAATAGGGGATCTGCTCGTGCACGCTGCAGGAGAAGCCCCCAGGCAAGCAGCCCGCAGAGACCCCCGCTGTGAAGATGGCGTCCGGAGGGGCCGAGTGGGGGGCCCTTACCTGCCTGCCTCACCACGAGCAGGGCCACCAGGACCCACACCGGCACCCGGCACACACTCCGGGCACCCATCCTGGGGCTGGCACGAGGGTGGGGGCGTGGACGGGCAGGGAGGGAGCCTGGCCGGGTGCTTGCTCCCCTGGGGGCCCCGGCTTATGTAGCAGGGAGCCATGGCCCCGAGCCAGGCCAGGCCACGCAGGGCACCCTGCTCTTCTCCGCTCAAGCCACGTGTGTTTGCTCTCGGGGAGGGGCTGTGGCAGGGAAGAGGCCTGGAGCAGGAAGGATTTGCAGCTCTGTGCTCTAAGGCCAAGACGCCCCTGCCCCCAGCAACTTCGGAGAATTGGAAGGGAGAGGAGAACAGCCAGTCCCACCTGGCACCCGTCCTAGGCGGCAAAGCCGCTGCAGTGCAGGGTGGGCCTTGGACCCAGGGTCGGTGGAACCAGTGGTCAGCCAGCCTGACTCACAGCCCCATTCTGGCTCCTGCTGGGAGGAAACCCCAGCCTCTGGGCAGCTCCCCTGGCCGCTCCCCATGGGTCCCTGAGGCCTGGGGAGGGTCCCCGAGGCTGCAGCTCCTCTCTGGCCACTGCTCAGCCAGCAGGGAGGCCCGGGACTCCTGCTCAGCTCAGGCGTGCATGTGGCCAAGACGCTCAGTCTCGGTGGCTTGTGGAGGTCCTTGGAGGAGGTCACGTTTCCAGAGACCCCAGCCCAGCTGACCAGAGCCCCTCGAAGACCCTGGGAGGGCTCTGGGCTCATCTGTTTCAAGGTCCAAGTTCAAGGGGAAACCCGGGCCGGAGGGTGCCCTGGCCGTGTACCCGGGAGTCAGCTGTGCTGGTCCAACACCAGCCCTGCCCAGGCAGGCCGCAGGCCACCAGCCCTGTGTCCATTTGGCCTCCATCTCACTCCAGGACCCCTCATTAACCCTGGCAGGGTTAAGGAAGGAGCTGCTCCTTGGGGTCCTGGACTTGCCCAGGGTCCTGAGCCTGGCCCACGTGGAGGCTGCAAAAGTCTAGCACCACCCAAGGTGGTGGGTGGCCTCCTGGGGGCCACGTGGCAAACCCGACCAGGAACAGCCTCCACAGATGGCGTCACCTACAGGACACTCTGTCCACGCGGTAGCACCTCCTGCAAACACCCCTGCCTGCATGACCCGAGCTGGAGACGCTCCCACCCCCTGGCTCCCCGGCCGCCAGCGTCCTGAATGCTCCGAGGAGCAGACCCCAGGCGGGAAGCCCCAGGTGGGGTGGGGTGGGGTGGCCTCGTCCAGCCCCAGGGGACTGGATGGCCCCCTGGAGGTTCCTCGGAGCCCGAGGCCCGTGGCAGAGGCTGGGACCCGCCTTCTCCCTTTGTGGCAGTTTATCTGTCTCAGGGTGCGCCTCAGGCTTCTGGGGGAAGGGGGCTCCCAGATCTCAGCATGGCTTAGACCCCGGCTCCTGCCCACTTCCGGGACTCTAGAGCATGTGCTCGGTCGCCAGCTCCCTGCACCCCACCAACGGCATCTCCAAAGCTGAAGGCTCCAGGGTCTCTGCGGTCTCCGACAGTCCCCGTCACAGGGACCCTGCACCAGCTCCCCTGCGTTTGTCTTTCTGAAGTTAAATTCTTAGTGGTGGGATTTCTGGGGCAAGACGAAAGCCCATTTGCAAGGCTTTGACCCGCCTCACACTCAACAGGATGTGAGGAACCAAGACACACAAGAAGTCAGAAGCGTCGGCTGAGACGTGGGGACCCAGGGCCCCTCGCCCGGCCGGGGCGGGACCAGCAGCTCCACTCTGCGTCCGTCCCCAGAGGCCCTGGGAGCGGCTCATGAAGGAAGGTCTGCACCCCCACATCCGTAGCAGCACCTCTGACAGGGCGAAAGCTGCCTGCACGTCCACTGACGGGGGACCAGTCAGCCCCACGAGGCCACCGCGCGCGGCGGAACACAGTTAAGCTGTGAAAAGGAAAGGCTGGCCCAGGCTGCTCCATGGGGAAGCTGACACTGTGCAGAGGGGCAGGTGGACACAAAGGCAGAGGCGGGAGGGGCCTCGAGTGTGCGGCCCCCAGGGTCATGAAACCTGTGTGGACGGAGCGTGGACGGTGGGCGCCAGGGGCTGGCGGAGGGGCTCGGAGCCGGTCTTTCAGGGGACAGGGTTTCAGGTTGGGAAATGAGAACATTCTGGAGATGGCGGACAGGGACAGCAACGTGAATGGACCTGGCCTGTTTTGCCACCTGTCCCCGCTCATGGCTGAGGCCCCCTGGAGGTTCCTCGGAGCCCGAGGCCCATGGCAGAGGCTGGGACCCGCCTTCTCCCTTTGTGGCAGTTTATCTGTCTCAGGGTGCGCCTCAGGCTTCTGGGGGAAGGGGGCTCCCAGATCTCAGCATGGCTTAGACCCCGGCTCCTGCTCACTTCCGGGACTCCAGAGCATGTGCTCGGTCGCCAGCTCCCCACACCCCACCGACGGCACCTCCAAAGCTGAAGGTTCCAGGGTCTCTGGGATCTCCGACCTCTTTCATATCCAGCCCAGTTGTCCTTTGACAGTGCGGCCCTGAGGTGGGCTGGGAGGCAATGACTGGCTGGTGGCCTTAAGAACGGTCAGGAGGGTTGGGGGCGCCCCACCTCAGGCTCCCCGCTGTGACTGTGCCCAGGCCCCGGCCAGACCCCTCTCCTCGGCCTTCCTGCCTGCTCCAGGCCAGGCTGGGCAAACGGGGCTCCCTGATGCTGTGACTCCTGGTCCTCACGCTGGGGAAGGGGTGTGCCTGCTGCCTAGGCCTCTGCTGCAGATGCCCCCACTCCCCCTCCACAGATCTCCCACCTCGGCCACAAGCCCTCCTGGCCTCCCTGACCCTGCCCATGGTGCCAGCTCACAAACTGATGCCCACCCAGGGACTGGGGCCACTCCTGATGTCTCCCTACAGCCCCTGCTGCCTGTCCCGGCCCTCCCTGACCACAGCCAGTGCCTGCGGCCTTCATGGGGGCTGGCGGCCCACTGAGGGGCAGTCCCCTCGCCCCCAGCTCAAGCGGGCCGGGCACCTCTGCACCAGTGAGAAGCGTTTCTCCGTGGCGGGACTGGGACCTGCAGGCAGCAGCTCCGGCCCAGCTCAGTGCCTGAGGCCCCACCCGCCCCGCCTCCACCCTGGAAGAGCCCCCAGGCAGAGGCCTCGCTCGCCTGTGGCCGGCTCGCAGTGACACCAAACCAGTGGGGCCCTGACTCTGCCTCGTCCCTCCCCCAGGCACCTCCCGGGGCAAAGGGCCCCTCAGGGACGGGGGTGGGTCCCGGGCAGGGGTCCGAGGTGGACGTCAGGGCCGCGGCTATTGAGACATCCCGGATGCGGCCGCGGGAGTCCAGCCTGTTTGCCCAGCGTGTTTGAAGAGTTCTCCTCTTCACAGTTGAAGGCGCTGAAAACAGGAGATAAAGGAAGCAAAGGGACGCAGCCGGTTCCTGCCGGGAAGGGGGGCCGGGCACAGACTCCCGGGGCGCAGGGAGCCTTCGCCTCGGACGTGCCAGGAACCTGCCCTGCGGCTCTGACGGGGTCTGAGCCAGGCCCAGCCCTGGGCGGGTCACTGTCATTCCGGCCAGGGGGCAGTGGGGACAAAGGGGCCACCTGGGCCACACAGAGCCAAACACGGGGGGGGGTTGATCCTGCCATGAATGAGGACCTGCCCGGGACCCCACAGAACCCTCCAGAGGCCGTCCAGGCTCCACTGGTCAGAGCCACTGTCTGCTGTCACCAGCTGCCCCAAGCCCAGCCTCTCAGCCCTGGGGGACACCCAGAGGGCTTGTCCACCGAAAAGCGTCGTCACCTGGGCTGGGGTCCCCGCATGGCCCAAGCCTCCCCTCCCCCACCACAGGGGTGCAGGTTTGAGTTGGGCCCCAGCCTCCATCAGCCCCGGGGACTGAGTGCTGCCTGCCAGCTCCACACTGGACACGTGGGGTGTCAGGCACAGCCTGGGGGTCACAAGCAGGGCTGGGCCCTGGGTCTGCTCCAAGCCAGGCCCCAGGCCATCCTGGGACAGGGGGTGGTGGCTGTGTGGGACCCTCAGCCTCGGCGGCCTCCTGCTCCCTGGCACATGGGCCCCCGGCTCCTAGGGTGGAGGTCTCACCAGGCCGCAGGCATGCTCCAGGGAGTCACCTGCTGGTGGGCCGAGGGGCCCAGTGTGTGACCGAACAGGATGGGTTCAGGGATGGGTGGGTCCAGCAAGGTGTCGCAGACCTTGGGGCCCCGGGTGGTGATGGGCTGCTTGCTCCTGGGTGCTGGGATGGCCAGGCCCCTGTCCCCGGTCCCCTGTCCCAGTACAGGTGGGGAGCTGTCCAGCAAGGCCCAGGGGTCTCAGAGCCAATGCCAGGTGTCCAGAAGCAGCAGGTGGAGGCACGTTGGTTCTTTTCGGCCCTTAGACCCTGGTCCACCCAGCGACAGGTACGACTGGGGGCCAAATCTCCCGGTGGGACGTGAAGCTATGGGAAAGGCAGGTCACCTTCCACCTGTGCACCCCAGTGCCCTGAGCTGCCCCTGCCCGGAGGATGCCCCACACGGGGGCTACAAGGCATGGAGACCCCCTCCTCCAGGACAACCCCTGCCCTGTGCGAACTTCTGAGGCAGGAGGAAAGCCCATCTTCAAAGCTTTCCTCCAGAGGACGCTGGAGCTCCCCTTCGGCCACTGCTCAGCCAGCAGGGAGGTCTGGAGGCTCCTGCTCAGCTCAGGCGAGCACCTGGCCGGGGCGTTCCAACTGGGTGGCTTGTGGGGGTCCCCAGAGGAGGCCCCATTTCCAGAGACCCCAGCCCAGCTGACCAGAGCCCCTCGAAGACCCTGGACCCCACCACCTGTCTCTGCTTCCTCCTGCTCTTTGCCCAGGCGGCCTCTCTGCCTGTCCCCCACCCCCTTCCTTCCTGACAATTCCGAGGAGTCCAGCTGTGTTCTGGCGCTGCCCTGGGCAGCGGAATTTGACAAGGACTAGAACAGAGTCCCGCCCTTTCGAGGCTTTGGTGGCGTGGCCTTTGCAGCAGCTTCCAAGGAATGGGAGAGGATGGGATGGTCCTCTGGGTGGGGCTGGGGGAGATGACGGCTGAGCTGCAAACCGGGGAACAGCAGGTGCAG